GGGGGGGGGGGGGGGGGGGGGAGTGACACAGCTAACTGCATTGAAGGTGCTATGGATTTTTTACAAAATTGTGAATTTGTCCTTTAACATGTTAAGCTCAGCCTTAGTTTTAGATCGCATATAATGGTTATAACTGCTGGCAGGTTTTACTGCTATATGAGGTTCAATTACAGAGATTCTCCTCACTTCCTGCCATGGTGTCAACAGAAAGGAAGTGAGGGGAAAATCCAACATACAGACAGAAATGAAAACAGGTTTTTTAATTATTTGTTGAAATATGGTAAAACTGTAAGGAAGAACTGCTGGGGCCCTCTTTGCTTGGGTGGGCCCCTGTGTACCAGCACAGTTTGCACTCGCAGTATTCCCACTCAAGGGCCCTCTTTGCTTGGCTGGGCCCCTGTGTACCATCACAGTCTGCACACACAGTACACCCAAATAAGGGCCCACTTTGCTTTGCTGGGGCCCTATGTACCAGCACAGTTTGCACATGCAGTACTCTCACTCAAGGGTCGTCTTTGGTTTGCTGGGCCCCTGTGCACCAGCACAGTCTGCACACGCAGCACACCCGCTCCAGCCATTTCCCCCCCATCGGTCTGTGCATATGAAGGTGATTGGATACTCACGTAGGATTCTCTCCATCCCCTCACATCTGCGCACTTCATTCACGAACCGCCTCTGGAAATTATTCACCGATGCATTCAGCTGAAAGGGCCAACAGAAGGTGATAATTACAGCGGATAACAATATCTGGCTAATTGTTGTCATTTTATGTTATGAAAAGATAAAAAACATGATGAGGAAATATTCAATAAATGGATTTAATGGGAACCAGATCTGAAATGTTTGCAGTGTTTCCTTAGTCTCCCCTCCTCCAGTCATCACTCATTCATGTTCATTGTAACTTTGTCATCATAAAGTGAGAGGCCAGGAAAGAACTATTTCTTCATTTCTGTCTTGTTGTTTGTGTTCTTGGAGGAACTGCAGTCACAAAGAATGCTTTGTCCATGGAGGTGCTCCCTAAACAGCGGCCGCTACTTTGCTGCAGTTCCAACGTGATCATGAACAACATTTCATCACTTATAATAAGGCACAATGGGAAATTAAAGAAGCCGGCAGAAGCATTGCATAACAATACAGGTAATACAATCCATAATACATGCTCCCCATGTGGTGCCTGAAAGATGAAAAAGAAAAAGATTTCTGGGCTTGCCTGTGAGATGGCATTGGGCCTCAGCTGCTCAGGTGAGGGCACTCAGGGCGATGGGGTACCGTATGGTAAAACGAGCCTGCTTACCCCTCCACAGACCAGATCTGGCCATGATGATGGACACATACATAGAGCGACAAGGATAGAACACAGAAGGGGCTCATTTATCCATATCTACTCTCAGATGTGTGTACTTACATCCCGGAACTGTACCAGGCCCAGCTCGCCCAGCTCAGCAATGCAGCAATACCCGGCCTCCACCTGTAGGATCAGCTGCGTCAGGCTCATCTCCTCACTGCGGAATAGAGAGCCCATCCTGAGAGTTGCGTGATGGACACCAGATCAACCGGACGCCTCTTCCTGCAACAGACACACAAAGTACAAGATGAGTGCCAGTTATTTTCAGTTCAGGCAATGAGATTTAAAAATAACCGTCACAGATAAAGATCATTATTCTTGTGTGAAAACTTTCTGAATTGAGTCTTAAGACATGTAGGTAATAAGTACAAAGTTGTATTAAAACAGAAGCGGAGATATGGCAGAATTCATTCTGAATGTGAAGTCTAAGCTGTCTACACACAGTGGCCCTCCCCTTAATAGGAGAGGAGATGACAATTCTTTAATGGGAGCTGTCACCTAATCGGTTTCTCAGCACATGGGAAGATTTTTCATTTGGCCGCAAACTCCATAAAACAACACTTCTCCTTTCTATAGAGAGAGAGGAAGAGTCCTCATAGAAGAGCAATACTAAGCACTTTCATATCTAAACTGACCACTTAACAACCTCAGTGTCATTAAAGAAAAAGCTTTGAAGTCTACATGTGAGCTAGACCTTGTTGGTGGTGGGTAGTTCTGTGGGGGCTCAACTCATAGAGGGTCCTTGGAGAGGGTCCTGACCACTAAACAACTTCAGTGTCATAGAAGAAAAAGCTTTGAAGTCTACATGTGAGCTAGACCTTGTCGGTGGTGGGTAGGTCTGTGGGGGCTCAACTCATACAGGGTCCTCGGAGAGGGTCCTGACCACTAAACAACTTCAGTGTCATTGAAGAAAAAGCTTTGAAGTCTACATGTGAGCTAGACCTTGTCAGTCAGTGGTGGGTAGGTCTGTGGGGGGCTCGACTCATGGAGGTTCCTCGGAGAGGGTCCCTTCAAGCATATGAAGTTTGGGGAGGTGGGTGAGGGCATGTCAAGCCTTGGAAACTCCTGCCTTGGAAGTCTTGGAAACTCAAGAACAATGGTCACTATATTAGTGTATGACATAAAACAGAGCCAACATATTTCAGGGGATCGGGGCTCCTTTTTTAGGGCTGCAGTCTGTGTCCTGATAGGATAATGGTGCTCCAGGGTGTCTGCTGTGGCGGTATGGTTGCATGGCAGACACTTCAGAACATGGTTATCATATTGGGACACAGACTGCAGCCCTAGGGAAGGCAACCTCGGCACTCCAGCTGTGGTGAAACTCACATCATGCCTATGCCTATGCTTGTGGGAGTCATGCCTGTGGCTTAGAGAGTCTTGCAAAGCCTCATGGGACTTGTAGTTCCACAACAGATGGAGTGTCAAGGTTGCCTACTGCTGGGTATGACATAAAACATAGGTAACACGTTTCAGAGGATTGGGGCTCCCCTTCTTCAGAGCTGTAGTGTCCTTATAGTCCTGTAGTCTGTGTCCATGATAATGGTGTTCTGCTGTACACACCGACTAGCATAGCACCATTATATAAGGACACAGACTGCAGCCCTGAAGAAGGCGGAGTCCCAATCACCTGTAATGCATTGACTCTGTTTTATGTCATACGCTAATATAGTGATCGTCATACATAGTGGAAATAGTTATCATATTAGGACTGCAATGCCCCATGACCAACATATCTAACTTCACCAAAGTCCTGAAGAAGGAGGAACCAAATTCCCTGAAATGTGTCGGTAATGTTTTATGTCATATACTAATAAAGTGATTATTGTTCTTTAACTGGCTGGTGGTGCTCACGTGTTTCAGAAAAAGGACAAGGCTTTCTGTGAGATCACGAATAAATTGTATTATTAGTCACCGTCATTTTCCTTTCCTGGCCCCAATCCATGGCAGCATTTGGCTATATGTACGCTGCTATGTTGGCTTCAGGAAACGCGGTATCTCTAACAGCTACACACGTGTAGAAGACTTATCAACAATTATGAACAGTGTTGGCCTCTCCAGGATCAGGAGAGTTAAAACAAGTTATTTATGTCGTCCAAAAATCTCCATAACCCATTTCTAGTAGGTTTGCAAATATAACAAATGAAATATATTGTTACATATAGTTTTGGATGGAGTTGGGGAGAAGCGGAACCCCTCTTGGGCTTTTACCGCTATCCATAGCTTCGTAAGAAAGAGATTTGCCTTCATGTCCTGTCCTAGTGACAATGGTTTTAACAGACAGGAAGTGAGGGTAACTCTCCAAAAGCAACACAGACAGGGAAATACATTATTTTTTTGAGAGTGAGGGTAGGCTGAACCCTTGCCATCTGTGTCCCTGTGAAAGGAGTTTTTCTCCCTTCCTGTCTGGTGAGATCATTGTCAGTGTGACAGGAAATTAGGTCAAATCTCTTTAACGGAGCCCCAGATAGCAGTTCAAGTTCTACTCCTTTCCCACTCTATCCAAGACTAAACACTTGGCTGGACACACACACTACAGCTACAATAATGATATCATTACTACTGCAATAAAGACAGCAAACAAAGTATATAGTCAATAAAACGTACAAAGCAGCGACATTTCTAGAAGGATTGCAAATATTACCAACAAAACCAAATTGTTACAAACAGCAACTCCGTTTATTATTAAGAGCAGAATTCAAATGATTACTTCAGCTGTCATTACAATGATTATTAATAATTGAATTCTATTGTTTCTTTTTCCAAAGATATTCTCTATCACTGTGTGTAAAAGTTTCAGGAAGCTGAATAAACTTGAGACACAGTTGTGATCCTGATGCTAATTTCTTGGATATTGGTGACTTTCTGTCTATAAATGAAACTGCTACCTTTAGCCCAAAATTATCTAATAGGGAGTAGTAACCCCTAGGTGGCCGTACACCGATTGTACAGGCACAGAGATCTGGGGACACTTCTGTGTATCTGTGGAAGTTATTGGGAAGGAATCTTGTCATTTGGTTTTGATAGAGAGGTAAAGGATGAAGAGCAATACAAAAATAAATCTCAGAACTGGAAGAGCAGATCGGAAAGGGGAAGCAGAGTGTGGCAGAGGGAGCAGGGAAGGAGGTTGGCTGGGGGTCTCACCTGTCTCTAGGAGGATCTCTGTACACTGACAGGCAGTTAGTTGGTCTCAGTTGATGAGTGTTGGTGCTGGGAGGTGCTGGGCCTCCTCCTCCTCCAGGACTGGTCCTCAGGAGCAGAGCGGAGTCAGGCAGCATCAGACTGGTTCTCGCCTCCTCTGTGTATAGTGTCAGCATGGGCTCAGTTGTGGGTAATAACAGAGCAGCTATGTACTAAACTTCCCAACATCCACTGTGAACTTATCATCCACTGCCCTCCCACCTCCGACCCAGAGGGACAGCGACCTAGAAATTTTCACATTTTTCAGGACACGCCAAGTGCAGAACAAAAAATAATAATAATAATAATTACTATTATTGCTGATTATTATTCATTATATTGTATTCTGTTGCACTTTTTAGTAAACATGTTCACATGATCAACAATACAGAAGCTGGGAGGAAACAGTTCATGATTCACACCGAATTTCGTTAATTCAGATGTCCCGAATCTAATTCATATTTAGTTCAGATTTCCAAAAGGCTTCTGGGAAGAAGGGACCAAAGGCTGCTCTGACGGCTGTTTCTGCCTTATATCTCCTTCTGCTGTTTCCTGATCACACTCAGCCAGGTACCAGATAGACGGTCCAACACTTGTATCTCAAGCTGGCCATATACTTATATTGAATCTCCTACTGTGGCTATTGTATTCTGACAGCCAGCTCCTGCCGCTGCCGGAATACATACACAGTGACTGTCACAAAATTATG